TTTTTTTGTCGATTTCTATGCTCACGTTCCTTTCGAAAACCATCATGGGCAGAGTAAAAATTCTTCGAATGTAAGCATCTCCTTATTTGAATAATTGAATTTCCAAGTACGATAGAATTCTATGGTCAAAATCCAAATTACATAAATCTTACATTTCATGAATAAAAGATATATTAATACGGCGAACAACCGAGATATTTTCATGAACAATTATTGCATCTTTGGAAGTTATAGAATTCGTAGAGAAATGGTGGTCCAGATTACAACAGATTGTGTTGAGGAAATCCTAAAGTTCCTGGCTAATGACGTAAAGACATTGCATTCCTGCTTATTGGTAAACAGGTCATGGTGTCGTCTTACTGTTCCGATTTTGTGGTGTAACCCGTGGAAATATAAATCAGAGATTGGAGAGGAAAAATTCAATCAGACGATGACCATGATATTATTGTCATTTATACCTGCGGATACGAGAGAGATGTTACGACAACATTACAGGAACGCGGTTATTGATTTTCCCCCGGCACGAACTCCTCTGTTTGAATATACCTCATACTGCCAATATCTCCCAAGATGTGACATAAGACAACTTTGGAATGAAATAGAGAAGAGAAACGGATTAGCTTACTCAATTCCAGATTACGTTAGATATTTCTACATAAAGCACATTTATAAGATGTTCATCAACTCTAGCTCGAACCTTAAACATCTGGAGCTTCCACAGCATATGCGGCTCATAGATTTTCTTGGGTGTCGAGAGGGATTAAGTCAACTTCACGTGTTAGAATGTAACGCAAATCATGACAGTGCATCGTTTTTTGAGATCGCGGAAATTTGTAGAAACCTTCAAAAGTTAATTGTGGATTGTGATCAGGACAATGAAGGCCTGGCGATGTTAATTAGAAAACAACATGGGTTAGAATATCTTGAGATAGCATCTTTGGAGGGATGTGAGTGTCCAATTATTGGCGTGGCCTTGAAAAGTCAAGGTGCTACACTGGCACACATTCGACTTGGGTTTCTGGCGTGTATTTCACCATCACTACTATGCTCATTTGTTAACCTTAAGACCCTACAATTTGATCTGATTGACCTTGGAGCTTCATATGTCAAGGAGATATTAGAAAATGCAAACTTCCCATACCTCGAAATACTTGATATATTTGGTATCAACTGCGAAGTTCATATAAACCTTTTCACGAGATTAATTGAACAAACGCAGAGCACCCTTCAAAGACTATATTGGAATGAAGTGACCAAACCTAGCGAAGATGACTTGAGACTTTACCTTGAAGTAATAGCGCACAATTGCCCGAATATGAAGTTTATCACAATTCCTTACATGAATCAGATGATTGACCTTTTTGGTGAGATGTTAGTTTCGTGTCAGAGATTAGAAGGTATTAAAATGGTCGTTTTCGAGGCGGTGGATGAAATTTCGGTGTTTCACGTATTGGGCATGAAAGCATCAAAGAAAGTAACACTGATAAATCTATCAGAAGGCTGGTGGTTTTCGCATTCAAATTTGGAAGAATTTTTCTCACTTTGGCGGGGGAGGAAACCAATGACTTTTATCTGTCCAAAAGTCACAATGCAAGATCAAGAGGAAATTATTGAAGTCGTTCAAAAGTATTTGAGAGAGGGAGTAATAAAAGAATTTATTGACATAGCATTTGATATGAACCACATTCGTTGGATCAAAGACTCATGGAGAATAGGTCCGGCATATGATAGATAGTTACCGATGACCCGAATCATCAAGATAATGTAATATTCTTTACCGAGTAAGATGCCGAACCAAAAACTAATTACGTGTACATAATCTGTCACTTTTAAAAGAATTTTACCATATGACCTTTAATCGCACTCATCCC